AGTGCACAGTCCTGCACCATCCTCACAATCATTGTTACGCTTGAGCCTACTGTTGCAGCCACTGTGTCAATCCATCTCATTGAGGGTCTTCCTTTTTTCCGTTAACCCTTTACTTTTCCAAGCATGATGTCCTTTCCCAGGGACTGATGCCTCCTGACAACATGTTCAAAGTATGTGAAATGAAGTCTCTCCATCCTTGCTACTAAGGAGCATTGTGGTTGTATTTCTTCCAAGACAGATTTGTTTGTTCTTCTCGGAGTCCATGGTATATTCGACATTCGTCATCAACACCGTAATTCAAAGGTATTGATTCTTCTTAGGTCTTCCTTATTCATTGTCCAGGTTTCACATGCATATGAGGCAATTGAAAATACTTTCGCTTGGGGTCAGGAGCACCTTAGTCCTTGAAGTGACATCTTTGCTTTATAACACTTTTAAGAGATCTTTGGCAGATTTGCCCAATGCAATGCGTTGTTTGATTTCTTGACTGCTGCTTCCATGGGCGTTGACTGTGGATTCAAATAAAATGAAATCCTTTACAATGTCAATATTTTGTTTGTTTATCATGAGATTGCTTATTGGTCCAGTTGAAAAGATTTTTATGTTGAGGTGTCCATACTGAAGACTGTGGTCATTGATCTTCATCAGTATGTACTTCAAGTCCTCTTTCAGCGAACAAGGTTGTGTCATCTGCATATCACAGATTGTTAATAAGTCTTCCTCCAATCCTGACACCCCGTTCTTCTTGTAGTCCAGCTTCTCAGATTATTTGCTCAGCATGCAGATTGAATAGGTATGGTGAAAGGATACAACCCTGGCACACCTTTCCTGACAAAACCATGCAATGGCACCTTGATGTGTTCAAATGACTGCCTCCTGATCTATGTATGTGTTCCTCAGGAATACAATTAACTGTTCTGGAATTCTCATTCTTTGCAATGTTATACATAACTTGTTATGGACCACAGAGTCAACTGCCTTTGTATAGTCAATAAAATACACGTAAACATCTTTCTGTTATTCTTTGATTTCAGCCATGATCCATCTGACATCAGCAATGATATCCCTTGTTTCAAGTTCTCTTCTGAATCTAGCTTCCATTTCTGGCAGTTCCTTGTCGACGTACTGCTGCAACTGCTTTTGAATGATCTTGAACAAAATTTTACTTGTGTGCGATATTAATAATAATTTCTGCATTCTGCTAAATCACGTTTCTTTGGAATGGGTACAAATATGGATCTCTTCCAGTCAGTTGGCCAGATAGCTGTCTTCCAAATTTCTTGGCATAGATGAGCAAGCACTTCCAACGCTGCATCTGTTTGTTGAAACATCTCAACTGGTATTCCGTCAATTCCTGAAGCTTTGTTTTTTGCCAATGCCTTCAGTACCATGGGTTCTTGATCATATGCTACCTATTGAAACAGCTGAATGTCAACCAATTCTTTTTCGTACAGTGACTCTGTGTATCCCATCTTCTTTTGATCCTTCCTGCGACGTTTAGTATTTTCCCCGTAGAATCCCTCAATATTGTAACTTGAGACTTGAATTTTTTCTTCAGTTCTATCAGCTTGAGAAATTCCAAGGGACAAACTGGGAGGCCATAAAAACTGAGCAAGGTCTATTTACTATTAGTGACTCAGACTTTACTGTTCAAAGTGTACAGGAAACGCTTATGCACTCCTTGTTTATGATATACTTAACAACAAAGTTTAAAGCATTATTTAAAACACAAAACAAACGAAAATTTCATATATTATACTAAATCATGTGAAAATGTCTTCATTTTGGTGGCGACTGGGGTCTGAAAAGCTAGTGGGCAGCCAGCTAAGATGCATCAATTGGTCCCAACCACCCGGAGCAAAGGAGAATGAAGAACACCAAAAACACAAGGAAAATATTAGCCCAAGAGACAGAAAGCGCTACATAAACCAGAGATTTTATCAGCTTGAGACAAGAAAAATTAGATGGTGTGCAGCTACCACCAATGACTGCTCTGAGAGGGAACACAACAGAAAGTCCCTGAGGGAGCAAGAGAAAAGTGGGGTGCAGAACTCAAATTCTAGTAAAAAGACCAGACTTCATGGTTTGACTAAGACCGGAGGAACCCCAGAAGACATGGCCCCAGGACTCTCTGTTAGCCCATAACTAAAGCCATTCCCGAGGCTAACTCTTCACACTGATTAGACTGGACTATGGGATGCAAAATTATACTCGTGAAGATGTGCTTCTCAGCTCAAGTATATACATGAGACTAAATGGGCAGCTCTGGTCTGGAGACGAGAAGGCAGAGAGGCTCAGGAGCTGGTTGAATGGACACGGGAAATCCAGGGTGGAAAGGGGGAGTGTGTTGTCACAGTATAGGGAGAACAACTAGGGTCACATAACGTTTGTATAAATTTTTGTATGAGAAACTAAGCTGAACTGTAAACTTTCACTTAAAACACGATAAAAAAAAGAAAATGCCTTCATTTTGATTGTACTTACCAGTTCAGAGGTGCTTTTATACCTCAACTATTAATACTCAGATCTTATAAATTTATATTTATCAAAACAAGCACTGTAAAAGCAAAATAATGGCCACAATCCAAGTGTCCAATTGTTAAGGATTGAACTGTCCCCCAAAAATGTGTGTCAACTTGGCTAGGCCATGATTCCCAGCATTATGTGATTGTCCACCACTCTGTCATCTGATGCAATCTTCCTATGTTTTGTAAATCCTACCTCTATGATGTTAATCAGGCAGCATTAGAAGTAGTTATATTAATGAGGCAGAACTCAATCTATAAAATTAAGTTGTGTTTTAACTCAACCTCGTTTGAGACATAGAGATATAGACTGCACAGAGACACGGAGAACTCATACAAACAAGAAAGCAACACGGGGAGCAGAGCGCATCCTTTGAACCTGGGCTCCCAGTGCTGAGAAGCTCCTAGGCCAGGAGAATACTGATTACAAGGAACTTCCTCCAGAGCCAATAAAGACAGCGAGCCTTCCCCTGGAGCTGATGTCCTGAATTCGTACTTCCAGCCTACTAGACTGTGAGAGAAAAAATTTCTCTTTGTTAAAGCCAAACACTTGTGGTATTTCTGTTACAGCAACACTAGTTAACTAAGACACCATTTGTGGTGTTACAATTAAAAACGAAAACAAAAAATCCTGAAGTCAAGTGTAGTCTTCTGGAGTTTTATAACAATTTAGATCTGCTGCTCTCTAGGCGGTCTGGTGGCACAATGGGTAAGAGTGTGGCTGCTAGCCAAAAGGTCGGCAGTTCAAATCCACCAGCTGCTCCTCAGAAACTCTAGGGGGCAGTTCTCTGTCCCATAGAGTTGCTATGAGTCAAAATCGACTCGATGGCACTTAACAAGATCAACAATGTATTGTTATGAAAAGATCACCAGGAGAGTTTGTTCACTGAAAAGCGAGTGCTAATTCCACGGTATCTACTGTATAACGAACTAGGTGAAATAAAAAATTTCTATTTCTATTTGCTTGCTTCAACACAAACACTGGCGAGATGCCTAGGAAAGTAATAAAGCTGGTTATTTAAAGGAAGCTGGGGAAAAGGGATGGGCTGGATAAGAACAAGAATAGGAATAAATCTCCAAAAAGTATACTTTTAATGTTCATATTAAGTTTTGAACTTTGAAGTATTATCTATTGGAAAAACAATTTCAGTGAAGTATACTGTAGTTTCAAACATGATGTAAGTCAAACTTCTGTTAAGATATTAAGTATTTTCACTAGGAATTCATGTTTGCAATAACTTACCATTTAAAATTTAATCATTTAGGACCCAACTGTTATTAACCAGTTCTAATATACTTGTACAAATCACAAAAGTATAAATCCGGGCTCTCTTTCTAAACACAGTAACCAGGGATATCAGAGTCTGTGCATTCATTTTGTCTCATCCAGGAGAATGTTTCTAAAATGGCTAAAGTATTTAACACATTAGGAGTTCTGGTATGACCTCTTAAATGTACAAGAATCTTTGAGAAATTTCTCAAAACTTAAGTAAGCTTTACAGTAACATTTACATCAGTTAAAATAGGCATTCCTCTGTTTAAGAAGTCTGTACCCATTAAATTGAAAGATTCCCCATAGACACACACCAAATGATCTAGAAATTTTCTTCCAGTGCCAAGTACAAACTCATGAACTGAAATATACATATCTTATATGTTAATCTACTATTGCAAAAAAAATATTTTAGATTCTAATTCAAGACTACAGAGAACATCAAAAATTACAAGAGTTAAATACCAGTTTTAGGCATCGGTGAGGGAACAAGGACCTAGACTGGGGATTCATGCTTTCCACACACCTGAAAGGCTCAAGGTAAAAGCCTTCACCACTGGAGAAAAATGGGTCTGAAGACCCCACACAGGATCCAGCTGGACTCGCTTTCCCCAGTTTCATACCTTTGTGACATCAGGAGAGCACCCACATCACCCAGAACCCCATGAATAGTCAGGACCTTTGCCTACGAACTCTTCGCGCTTTTCTAACCCATAACACAATGTGAGAGGGGGAGCTACGGTTTTAGAACTGCACAGAAAATGCTCCAGTGCCTGGAGGGAGTCAAGAACACTGCTCAGAGAGATGGGAAAAGGATAGCTCTGGAGGGCGGAGCTCAGCTTTCACGGCCAGAGCTGCTCTGTCTTCAGGCTCTGGTCAGGAGACTCTGTCATTCAACACAGACCACCAATGCCCAGGATGCGGATATTAACACCCCACGGTGCCAGCTCTGAGAGTCACATAAGAAAAATGACCCCAGGCATCCAAATCCTGAAAAGCCACTTGTGTATAAAAAAAAGTGTCCAGAGACAGTGAAGCAGGGCCTCAGGGTGCCTCCTAGGGCTCAGTCCCATGGCCTCCTCTGCCACCTTTTTTCTCCACTTGGGAACCACAGTCTCGCAGCACACAGCTGCTCCCCCAATAATTCATATCCAGCCTTACCCACTTACGGTAAGGATAATCCAGTTTTCGGCAGAACTCACCATTTCCTTCTCCAGCTTCTGGAAGTTAAAGGGAATGTCGTCTCTGAGCCCAAGAAGCCACTTCAGGAAGAGGAATGGGAGCGAAGCAGAGCACTGGGGCAGTTTGGAGGCAGATGAACGAATGTTTGGTCCACAAACCAGCCAGAGCAGTTGAAATCCTTCCCTGTGATTTACGGATGTACAAGATGGGCGCCCTAGGTCCTCAGCTGTGTGGACTGGACTAGTTCTCCCTGCACCACACCTGAGACCTGAAATGGAAAAAGAATGGGGAGGAAAGTGTTGAGGAAGCAGGGAGTGACAGGTCTTTGGCCTCCTCCCAGGCTCAGGGCCACGCTCCACCCTGAAGGCATTTGCACTGAAGGCAGAACAGGCTCCAGCCTCCAGAGCACACACCTGCATTCTTCATGCAGATCCATGGGCCTCTTCTTTCTGCCAATAAGATCACAGACAGAGGAATTTACTTATCCCAGAGCATGAGAAGCAACCAGGCCTGGCTGGGCTGCAAAACTTGAATCCGTTTTCCTCCAGAGTGTCAGGGGTCCAATGTTGAAGTTGTAGGTTCACCTGTGTAACTGTCCCTTAAACATGAACACACACACTGTTATTTGATATTAATGTGGGTGAATTTTCAGAAAAAACATTTTTCAATGAACTCATCATAGTTCATTTTTTTACGTGCAGTTAAAATCCTTCTGTGGTGTTTAAAAAATTTTTCAGTTTATAACAGTAATGTGTTACTGAAAGTTTTTCTGTTGCTTTTGCAATGAACATTTCTGCCTTCCTCTTGAAGCTTTTTTGTTTTTTCCCCCATCGTTCTCAAACAATGACATAATGAGTCCCTAAGCTTTTGAGAAATCTGGGAGAATTCCTGAACACTGTCTTTTAAATTTGTAATAAACTGATCAACAGATAAATCACAACATCATTGTTTTGTCTAAGGAGCTGTCTCCTGCCTCTGTTCTCATTTTTTTCCACCCTACTCTCCCTCCAAACTGACTCCTATTCTTCCATTTCTTGGTTTCAGTGTCAATGTTCTGTCTCTCATAGAATTTTTACACCAGTGTCTCCCCTTTAAGCATTGTCTTTCCTTTTATTATTTTCTATAATATCAGTCTGATTTTAATTCACATCCTTATTTCTAAACTATTATTTCCAGCATAAAGTAGGAGTTTCTTCAGTATGTAAAATCTGAAGCCCCACCCCAAAATTGCTGAATCAAAATCCACGTCTTAATAAGATCCTCGGGTTATCCACATTGATATTTAAGAAGCTTTCACTGATCTATAGCCTGTAATTCAAGCAACAAGCATTCTGTCAACAGATGCCCTTTCAATCATCTACATCCACTTTATATCAATGCACTATATTCCTGATCCACAACCAATCTCCATGTCTTGGTCTTCTCACAGTCTCCATTAACTTATTCATAACAAGCTCCTGCCTGAGTCATGCAATCATGGTTGTCACTCCAAAATCTACTGGCAGCACAGGAATTGCTTAATGCCCGTCAGTGGCTGTCCAATGGCCTTCAAACAGCCCAGAGTAGTCAGCAGGGTTCTAACCCACCTACTGCCATTGCCTCCAAGCTGCCTCACACAACACTCCCACCCACACTTTGTTTTCTCTGCTTCAATCACTTTTTTATCAAGGAATGGATGATACTCGGTTCTCTGCTGCCTCAGGGATTTATTTAAACACTCATTCTTCCCAACTGAAATACTCTTTCCATCCTGACCTACTGACACCACATGGTATCAACCTACATAATCATGCATGTAAATAAGACTAATTTTCTGAATCTTCACTTAACTATTTTTCCTTTTGAAGCAGTCTAACCTGACTCCTGAGTTAAGTCCTTCTATTTACAGATATCAGATATCTCTGGTTTGTTTTATTAATTTTTAAAACTGTCTCCCGTACTAGGCTATAAATCTATGGGCAGACACTATTTTGTCCTTGTTCCAGAAGGAACAAGATCGCTGAGGACACACACGGAGATCATCACCTGTTGTATATAGTCCTGAGCAGCAATATCCAAGAACTTTCAGTGAAGACAGCCATGTTCTGTTTCTACACAGGCCAATATGGCAGTCTCTAGCCTATGTGGCTACTTAGCACTGAACACACGACTAGTACAACAAAGGAACTGAACTTTTAGTTGTAATTTATTTTAATTGAAATAGCAACCTCTGGCTAGCAACCACTGCTCTAGTGGACGCACCAGAACCCTAAGCGACCAACACAGGAGAGAGGGTGTGAAAGCTGCCATTAGCACAATGCAGAGCTTGACAGCTTTTTGTTTGCTGGAAGCCTGTCATGTAGGGAAATAGTACAAGTAAAACCAAAGGTAACATTCAACTCAATTTGCTTGTATTTACATGATGGTAGTTAATGTCAACCTAAACCGGATTTACCTCATTCTGAAAACTGCAATGATATTTAAATATACACATGAGTGGGAGTAACTGAGAGGACAGGAGAGGCACTCTCTGAGGAGGTGACATTTGAAATGAGACCTAAATTATAAGAACTATTTAATTCTTATGATTAAAAAGTTTTCCTCTAATCAGAAGAAATACCTGGTGCAAAGGCTGAAAAGGAAAATCTTGGTATCTCTGAAAAAGATTTTTCAAAAAAATAAATATGTCAAGAGCCTATCGAACAAGAGTGTGTTGTACATTTAAGTCAGACAACTACTTATAAGCCTGAATATGGAGGATCTTGCTGGCCAACATAAAATGTGTGGATTTTATTCTCTGTGACTGATAGCTTACTTTGTTTACACTGTTGATATATGTCTCTTGCTGGTGGGGGGAGAGTGTACCTTCTTGTGACAAGAGAAAAACAGACAGAAGTTCAGAGGCTGCTTTCATAAGGGAGAGCTCCTCTCAGGGTAGCTTGGACTATTTCCCCTCATCTAGTGAATGGAGGCTGATGCTGCTTATTGGTTGCAAAAACCAGGTGAGAAGTAGATTTGTTCAGGTGAGACTTTAAAAGCTCTGTCTTGGACATGTTAGGTTTCAGAGTCTTAAAGTCCTTAGTGTCCCAGGTGGACTATGGGAAGGGTTTGGTGTCTGAGTCCACTGGTACCCAACAGCCCACATCTCAATTTATAGGTTGTCACCTCCTAGCCACGAAGACTCAAACTGTGACCTCTGAAACAGGCTGCGCTCTCACTTCTGAAGCTTCAAGCTAAAAGAAAGGAGGAGCACAGTGCTAGCATGAATCAGACCTTTAGCAAATGGAAGTTGATATTTTGGTGCTATGTGAGGGGCAATTCTTAAGATTCTGAACTAGGAAAACTCAAGAGTTTGGAATGAAGCCTTCAATTTGACATGAAGTGACTACACTACCACTCATGTCTCCAAGGAGAACTCCAGTCCATAAAGTTTACACCCAATAAAACCCTATAACACCGTTCTACTCTGTCACATAGAGTCACTATGAGTCTATGATCACCTTGATGGCACCTAACAACAGAAACATACCCAAAAGTCTTGAAAGGAGGGACGCAAACAGGTATTATTACACCAGTATTCACTGCAACAATATTCATAATAGCTAAAAAAAGGGAAAAAAAACAAAATGTCCATCAACAGATGCCTGCATAAATACAGAATATTATTAAGTCATGAAAAGAAATGAAGTTCTCATAAATAGGATATGGATGAACCTTGAAAACACTACGCTAAACGAAATAAATCAGACACAAAAGGACAAATACCGTACAATCTCACTTAAATGAAATATCTACAATAGGAAAATGTATAGAGATCAAAGAATTAACCAGGAGGATGAGAGAAAGGAGGGGGAGTTACTGCTTAAGACGCACCACGGTCTACTAAGAGTGATGGAAAAACCTGGACACTGATAGTGGTGATGGTTGCATAACACGGTTAAAGTAATAAACGTTACTAAATTATACACTTAAAAATGGATAAAACAGAGAAAGGTTTTGCTATATATATTTCATGACACATACACAAAAAAAGCATGAAATGGCACCATTAAAAAAAAAATTAGTTTCTTAGAGTGTGTAAGTTAAAGGAGGAAAATTTAGATTATATTATAGGGATAAAAAACAGAGAAAAGTGGGTATTTCTAAGATTTCATGCCAACCTAAGACTGTACTTACCCACAGAAATAAAATCACATTTCAGAAACTGCAATGTGTAAAGAATTGACTTTTTTAGGTAATTGGATCTAGATCATCTTGTTATTAATATGAAGGAAAAAATAGGCTGGTTCCACAGCCAAAAAAAAAAAAATCACATGAATGATAAGTAATGAATCCTAATTTAATAATAAATTGTAATAGCATTGGCAATCCCAAAGGTTTCTCAAAACAGACACTTAAATGTAGACATTTTAAATTTGCTCCAAAGGCTTTTCAATGCTGTGATCTTTCAGAAACAGAATGCTAGGCCTGTGTTCCAAGGCACATCTCGGTGGCTTCAAACTGCCAACCATTCAGCTAGTAATCTAAACCTTTTCCGCCACCCAGGGACTCCCTACTTGACTCTTATACTTTGTAAAACAATTATTATAAAAGATGAGGTACCTTGTGCAACACTGTACTATCAGTGATTTTCTACGATCTGCTAAGGTACATGGATTAGTTTCATTACACATGCCTCCCATTTTGCCCTCATTCCTAATATTCGCTGTTCTGACACTGGGAAGGAATATGCACGGTTTGTGCTCCAAAGTTTTCAACCTCTTAAGAAGTGTGGTTCTTTGGTAGTAAAAATTGTGGTTCAATCCCCAGCATCAAATCCAACACAGATCACACACACTGGGTGTGAGATCTCCATAAATCCTTCAAAGCCTGCATTCAGCTGATTCAGCAACATGTTTTATATCAGACCAACTAGGATTGGCTGTATTGTTTCTCACATAATCACAATGAAAATGCCTGCCTTAAGCCGAAGAATTTTCTTGAAATGTGCCTCATACTAAATATTTTCCTCCAGAAAGTTGGATAAACATGGTCCTAAATGTACATACTATTTCCAACTTGTGTTTCTTGGTTGATCATTGGTCTTAAATATATAAAACCGTTAAAGAAAAGGGGGTATATTTCTCACCACAATCTTCATTTCTGTATGGCCAGCAGCACTCAGCAAAAGTCCTGCCTGAAGACGCGCAGAAAACAAAAAGGACTCTAACAGCACTGAAAAGAGAGGCAGCTCCACACAGTGATAGGAGACTTCAACACACCACTTTCAGTGAAAGACAGAACATGGAGAAAGAAGCTCAACAAAGACACGGAAGAGCTAAATCCTACAATCAACGAACTTGATCTCATAGACATATACAGAACACTCCACCCAACAGCAGCCAAGTATACTTTCTTTTCCAACGTACATGCAACATTCTCCAGAACAGACCACATATTAGGCCAGGAAGCAAGCCTTAACGAAATCCAAAGCAATCGAAATATCACAAAGCATCTTTTCGGACCATAAAGCCACAAAAGTAGAAAACAACAGAGAAAGCAAGTAAAAAAAATCAAACACATGGAAACTGAACAACACCTTGCTCAAAAACTACTGGGTTATAGAAGAAATCAAGCATG